AAAGAGGGACATAATATAAACATATAGAAAAGATGATAAAGGAATATTATCAATAACTTTAGTCCAATAACTTTAACACCATAGATAAAATGTGCAAATAACTTAAAAAACACAAGCCACCAACTACATAAGAGAAAATTGGAATTGTAGCATACCTTAGTCATTAAGTTTGCAATTCAAAATCTTCCTACAAAGAAGTGTTAGTCATAGATGGCTTCTGTGATAAATTCTATCATGTAGATAAAGAAGAAATAATATCTTATACAAACTCTTTCATCAAAGAGAAAAAGGAAACAATTGCCAACTCAATTTATGAAACCTGTATAAACCTGAAACGAAAACCTGACAATGGCATAATATGAAAAATTATATATCACTCACAAACACACATGCAAAAATTCTTAACAATGGAGTAGCAAATCAAGTTTACCTAATATATAATATTTTTCACACTGATGCATGCCACCTGGAAGGAAAATACATAAACAATTTGCCTGGCCAATCACAATCATGCAGGTGCTCTTCCATTTCCGGTCTGCAGGACTCCAGTTCATCAGATCTGCTTGGATATCTTTGTATTCTTCCACTGTTGCTGCTGTTATCCCATATTCACAATGGAGAGGAACTTGATCCATATTTTACTGCTCAGATTCCAGATGTAACCACCATCACTAGTGCTGTGATGCTCATTTGAATTTGAAAGTTGGAAATAACCAACAGGACCCGGACTACAACAAGGCAAATGTCTCAGAAGAAAAATTAATGGGTCACTCAAAAACTTGGTAGTAAAGACAGACCCTAGTCTAAAAAATCAAACTTAATGAAAAAATCCATTATGAACAGAATTTCAATGTTTGATTCAAGACATGATCTGATCTTAAACAACTTGGCCTCACCCTAATTCCTACCATGTCACATCCTGATGGCAACTTTATTGTTTCCTGATCTCATTGGGAGATAAAAGGCCATATATGTTACACTTCTCTCTTCTGGGCTGCTCTTTCAAGGTCAAGAGGGCTACCAAACTTTTAGATCAAATAATGCTGCATTGTTACATTTACAAGAAGAAAAATCCTGTGGTTTGCAAAAATGATCTCTTCTACAATATGTTACTAATGCCTATTTTATTACATACATTTATGCATTAAAGGAACATATGTTTACAATATGGAAAGAAATGGAAAAGTAATGTTACTCTATTATATATATCTGCACATGCAGTGCATCTCCACCATCTACTAAAGCTACTCCCCTAGACACACACATGCTCAAATGCACACATGTACACACACATAGACAAACACTCTGGGTGCAGCTGTGAAGTTCAAAAATTGTTTGAGGTATTACCTTCCATGTAGAGTGATAGATTCCTATTGATGTTTCATGATTACGCTGATAAACTTCAAGTAATCTCTTTTCAAGGTATTCAGATAAATCCTTGGAGAACAAATATTAATCCTTTGGAGATATCTTTCATTCTACACTTTACCAATGAAGTATTTGTAAAGACAGGAAAGGAGTAGTGGATACTGACACATTGTGGTCTCTGGGCCTGTTCCAAAACATGCACCTCTTTATTATGAAAAGACAGTTAGGAAATTCTGATCCTCCCACAAGGCATGTTCTACCAAAACACATAGATTGCTGATATGCATATGATGATTTTCAAGACTCATATTAGTCCATTTATTTTACTAAGTAAAAATGTTTTGGCCCTGCTATTTTCCTGTCTGAGAAAGAAACCATGGTTCTGGATTGCCGTATAAACATTGTAGTCATCTTGTAAGGATACCACTAATTCAGGTTTAAGCACATAACTGGCATTTATCAGCTTACCTTCTTGTCCTATTCTCCCTAAAACTCAATGGTTTGGGTTGTTACCATCCAGGAACATTTCTTTGGAAGTTCAATTATCTGTGTGTGTTTGCATTAGCCAAATTGCATGAAGATATGAACTCAGCCACAGTAGCTCAGAGTACTGGCCTTGGATAACACTTAAAGGAAAACAAAACTGCTTTTCTGACAAGCATCGCAAACGTCTTAAATAGACAACCTGAGACATAGTCAGACAACTGTGCAAATCAACCTGACTCATGAGGGAGATGTGCCACTTTGGAATGCATCTGTCTGTATTCAACAGAAAACCCAATTACAGTTGCTTAATCACATAGGGTTTTATTCATATGCAGGCTGTGAGAAGGTAGTGCAGAGTTGTTGCAGCAGTTTAACAATGCTATGAAAATTCGGGGGCTTTCTATCTTATCATACTTATATACTAAAGGTTTAGTATATAAACCTTTGTTTACAGCACTTATCTTATGGTTGCAAGTTGATTGCCTCAACTCAAGGCTTCCTCCTCAATACCCACGCTGGTTAAGAAAAAAGAAAATGCTTTCACTCTCCCGAAAAAAATCAATGGAAAAATATCCTCAGGTGAGGATTAATTAAAAACAAGGAAAGAAAGAAAGAAAGAAAAGAAAATGGGTAAAGATCTAAGGAACATGTCACCTGAGACTAGCCTTTTCAAAAATATTTCCTCCGTTAAGACCAATCCCTCAATGATACTTCTAAATTGACAGCAATAACTGAGTTATACGATACACCTACCTGCAAGGGATTATGGGAACATGAACATTTTGACCCAGAAAGGAAAGAAAAAATGGTCTTGGAAATGGATATTTTAGTAGACACATGTATTCATTTCCTATTGCGGCTGTAACAAATTACCACAAACTTAGTGCTTAAAAACATAAATATATTATCTTCAGTTCTAGAGCTCAACAGTTAAACTGGGCTAAAGTTAAGTTAGGGCTGCGTTCCTTTCTGGAGGCTCCAAGTAAAAATACTTTCCTTACCTGTTCTAGCTTCTGCACTCTCCCACTTGTGGCTCCCTTCCATCTTCAAAGTCAGTAACGGCTGGTTCAGTCTTTTGCACATAATATCACTCTGTTACCGACTCTCTTTCTGCTTCCTACTTCCATTTCTTATGAAGGGCTCTTGTGATTACACTGGAATCACCTGGGTAATTTAGGACAATCTCCCAATTTAAAGGCCAGCTGATTATCACAACCTTAATCCCATTGGCAATTGATTCCCCTTTGCCGCACAGCATCCTTGTTTTTCTCTCCAGAACATGCTTTCCTGATAATGAATCTCCTAATTATAGCATTTTTTAACCATTTGAATAGGCTGCAAATCATTAAATTCTGGTTTCTTTTTGCTTAACAGTCCTTCCCTCAATCTATCTCATTCCTCTCATATTTTACTAAAAGCCGCAAGAAGAAAACAGGCTGCAGCTTCCACCCTAGCCTGGAAATCTACTCAGCTAAATATCAAGCTAATTGTTTACCAGTCCTTCTCTCCACATTTCCACTGCAGGACACACGATTCAGCTAAGTTTTCTGCCAGTACATAACAAGGATTTCCTTCCCTTCAGTTTCCAATAACATTTTTCTCATTTCCTTTCCTCTGGTTTCCAATATCATTTTTGTAATTCATATTTCTACCAATAGTCTCTTTACCATGATTTAGGTATTCTGGAAGGCAATATATGTTTTCTCCACCATGCTCCTCACTTTCTTCTGTGTCTTTGCTATCAGAGTGATTATCCATGTTTCAACTAACACTCTGTCCAAAATAATCTAAGCTTTAAAAAATCATGCTGTTTAAAATTCTTCCAGCCTCAGCCTAATGCCCAATTCCAAAGAGATTTCTACATTATTAGTTATTTGTTACAGCAGCACTCCACTTCCAACTCTGTATCAATCAGGGTTCAACCAGAAAAACAGAACCAGCAGGAGATATAAAGAGATTTATTGCAAGGAAGTGATTGATTCAATTGTGGGAGGTGGCTAGGCAAATCAAAAATCAGAGGGGGTGGCTAGGCAAGTCAAAAATCCGAAAGGGCAGGCTGCGACTCTGGACACCAGCTGAAGCTGCTGCCCACAGTCATAATTCCCTCATCTCAGGGGACACTCAGCTCTGCTTGAAGGCCTTTCAGCTGATTGGGTCAGGCCCTCCCCATTACAAGGTTCGTTGATTAGCAACCTTAATTCCATCAGAATCGTAAGCCCCCTTTGCAATATAACATAACATAGTCACAGGTTCCAGGGAATAGGATGTGGATGTCTTATGGAGGGCATTATTCTGCCTACCACACTGTCCCATAGTATCTGCAAAGTTAAGAGGCTCCTGAAAATATAACTGATTATTTCTTCAAACCATTCATCACCTTCATTAACATATGCTTGCACACATGTTCTTTAATATTAATTCTACAATTAATTCTACAATTTATTTTTCCAAATTCCTCCAGGCCCAGAATTTGGAGCTCACTTGAGAATTCCTTGCAATAGCAAGAGACAATTTCAAGCAATGTATTGCTTGGTCCTAGCGTCTATTGATCTTCAGACTTTATAGGAACAAGTTAAACACAGCCAATCTGGGTATCCAGTAAAACTGTGCGGGACTTTTATCAGGATCATAACTTCAGTTAAATATAAGAAAAAATCCATGATTTTTCTCAACATTAGATGAGAAAGATATATTTTCATGAGGCAACATGTATTTTAGAAAGTCTAATAATTATAATTGTGATTTTGATATAAACAGCATGAAATTATACATGTTGCCTATTGATAAAAACAAAAAATACAGAGTTTGAAAGAAACTGGATATGGGTGAATACAAATTGATTCTACCCAAAATGGGTTATAAAAAAAGTCATAGCTGTGTAAATAATAAAAACTAAATAAAACCTCTGACAATTTAAAAATAAAGTAGGTAGAAAGGAATCATATTCGTATGTAGTGTCATGAATACTTTTAAATTTAGAATTACGTTTATTTCCAGGGGTTAACTTTCATATTAACCTTAAAAAATCAGTACTAAAATTTTTAGTCAGAAATAGGAAATTTCCTGGTATTTTTTACTAATAATATAGGAATTAAAAAAATAATTAAAGGACAACAAAACAAAGAATAACTGCTAAGGAAGATAGTACAGAAAAAGAAAAACAAGTAGAACTACAGGCTATTACTGCATTAAAAAAATGAAGGAAAGATAAAGGAGACAACAACTAATGGTGCAAGTGGAAAGTTTCAGATACCTAAGCTATCATGGAATGTAGGATTTCCCTCTGCCTTCCTCCCAATGTCCTGGCCTAGAATATTGGGGAAGACAGGCTTCAAGAATTTGAACTCATTACTCCCAGGGTCTCCCGTCAGACACACCTCATACTGGTAGCTCTGGGACAGGGTCCCGGTGCCGCTGACGTCCACCAGGCGGCCCGGAAAGGGGCCCTCAGGCCGAGCAGCCATGCGCCCACACGCCGAACAGCCCGGGCTCCGTGGCCTTGAGCAGCTGGAACGACAGCCAGGCGTTCTGGCCCGAGTCCGCGTCCACCGCCACCACCTTGCTCACCAGGTAGCCCGGCTCGGCCGCCCTGGGCACCAGCTCGGTGCAGGGCGCGGAGCCGTTCTGCAGCGGGTACAGCACGAAGGGCGCGTGGTCGTTGGCGTCCAGCACCTGCACGCGCACCAGCGCCTGGCTGCTCAGCGCGGGGGACCCGCGGTCCGTGGCGCCCACGCGGAACTCGAACGCCGGCAGCGCCTCGAAGTCCAGCGCCCTCAGGGCGAACAGGCGGCCGTTGTCCGCGTTGATGGACACGAGCGAGGCCAGGGGCAGGCGCGGGTCGTGGGGCGGCAGCAGTGAGTAGGTGAGCTGGGCGTTGGCGCCCGCGTCGCTGTCTGTGGCGCTGACGCTGCCGATGTGCAGGGCGGGGCTGTTGTTCTCGCGGAGGAACAGGGTGTAGGCGGTTTGGGTGAAGGCGGGGGCGTTGTCGTTGACGTCGGACACCAGCAGGGTGATGTTGTGCTGGGTTTCCAGCCTGGGGGTCCCCAAGTCGGTGACGGTGATGGTGACGTTGTACTCGGCTCTGCTCTCCCTGTCCAGGGCCCCATTGGTTACCAGGGTGTAGAAATTCCCTTCAGTCGGCTTCAGGAGGAAGGGGAGATCCTCCTGGATGGAGCAAGTCATCCTTCCGTTGTCCCCGGAGTCTCGGTCTCGAATCTGAAACAGGGCCACTTCCCTCTCGGGGGAATTTTCGGGAATGGGGCTGGTAAGTGAGGAAACAGTGAGTTCTGGGGAGTTATCGTTAACATCCACCACCTCGATGGAGACAGAACATTTTCCTGAAAGGCCCCCGCCATCAGAGGCATCTATATCCAGCTCATATGCGGATATTGTCTCAAAATCTAGTTTTTTAATTAGCCGAATTTCTCCTGAAAGGCTGTTGACTTCAAAAGTTTTGCTTATCTCCTGAGAACTATAAGAAAGGGCGTATGATATCTCTCCGTTTGTCCCAGTGTCTAAATCTCTAGCAGAAACCTTGACAACTAGGGAACCTACGGGGCTGTTCTCAGGGACCTGCACTTGGTAGAGCGACTGTGCAAACTCAGGGGCGTTGTCATTGGCATCCAAGACCAAGATGTGCACCTGGGCGGTGCCGGACAGGGGTGGAGAGCCGCCATCCAGGGCTGTGAGGGTTAATCTGAGCTGGGCCTGCTCCTCACGATCCAGCTCCTGGTCCAGCACCAGCTCGGGGTATTTCCTGCCGTCCCCCCGGTCCCGGGTGGAAACATGGAAATGGGAGCTGGGGCTGATGCTGTAGTTCTGGATGTTGTTGTTGCCCACGTCCAAATCCTGGGCTTTTTTCAGAGGAAACACGGTCCCAGGAGGGCTAGTCTCTGGGATTCTCAGCGTCATTTCTCTTTCAGGAAACTCAGGAGAATGATCATTTATGTCTCTCACCAGGAGCTCTGCTCGAAATACTCCCAGTGGGTTTTTCAGTAACACTTGGAAATGCATCACACACGGGTCAGTGGAGCCACACATCTCCTCCCGGTCCAGTTTCTCATTTAATATCAAGTCCCCGGTCTGCAGATCAAGCTGCAACCGGGGTTCCTTATCTTCAGTGACCACCCGGGCTCCCCGCGCAGCTAGCTCTCCCGCTCCCAGCCCCAGGTCCTTGGCCAAGTTGGCCACAACGGAGCCGCCCTCTGTTTCCTCCATCACGGAATAGCGACGGGATTCCCATCCTGCCACGGCCACTCCCGCCAAAAGAAAAAGAACCAGGACTTGCCTTTGTTTAGGAAAGCGCTCCCCTCCGACCTCCATCTTTATCAAACACCTTTCCAGGAACCGGGCCCAGCTCTACCTTAGGGAGCAATGGGGCTGCGATAGGGATGGATCTCTCCGTTGGCAATCTGTCCTGAAATGTTGCTGAGTAGCATTCTCTGGACACTGGTCCTCCGCTCCCTTACAGGCTTTTCTCCTCCTCTAGCGATCTGAGGTTGGATTAGTTGGATTTCCTGGGCTCTTTTTTTTTTTTTGCTTTTTCTGTTTCTTCGCCTTAGCCTGCAGCGCCACCATGCGTTGTCTTCGAAAAAATTTGCTACAATTGCATTCTCCATTTGTATGTACCTATAGTAAATCTAGTAATCCCAATCATCTATCTATCTAGTAATACCAGTTCTTTTGGGAGTTTTGGAAATGTTTTTGGGATATGATGTAATCAGAAAACCATGCAATTAAAATTATTTATTCATTCAAAGATATATTATTGATATAATGTACTAGGTTCTGAACTACATTAGTAAACAACCCAGACATGGCTTTTATCTTCCAGAACCTATAGTCTTGTGGGGATGTTCTGGAGAACTGAGAGGTGAAAGAAGACTTATTAGTGATCAGTCATCTTGTAAAAATAAGAGTCAAGCTATATGATTCCTTTAAATTCTCTCAGCAAAAATGAATGAATTCCTCTAGATTTTCTTTCAGATTCTAGACAGCCTATATACCAAAATTGTGGTTCTTATTGATTAATCACATCACAGAAAAAAGCTACTAGTTCATTGCAGTTTACATATTCTTTCTACATGAAGTCAGAGAGTTATATTTTAACCTTTTAAACTACAGGAAAATGCATATGAGAACACTTCTTTAGCTCTGAGCATGCTTCATTGATCACCATCTGGTAGAGCATGCTTACTTATTTCTTTTCTGTGTCATCCTTGAGTTCCAGAACTTTTTATTTTGATATTCTTCAACAGCTAGTCCCAGGCACATGGCAGATGCTCAATAAATATTTGTTGAATATATCAATGAAGAAATCACAATGTAAAAATTTTGACAGATGGATTCTCCTCCTAATGCAAAAGCCCACTTTTTTGCTGTAATCTTAATTCATTATATGAGAAACCATGCTCCCAAGTAGCTATGCTCTTTTCAATAGTAATTTAATATAATTCAGAATGATCTAAAATGTTTTTCATTAAATGGCAAAATACCCTTGCTCACCCCTAAACAAAAGGATACATTATAAAAAAGAAAAGAATAAAACAACCAGGCTATAATGATTCTACAAATAGGGTATCCATTGTCAGTGTTAATGCACACTAAAGCTATAAGAAACTAATGCTATTAAATATTTCTTATATATAGAATTTTCTAAGAATTTCTATAAAGTGTACAATTTGGAAATATCCATCAATTCTCAAAAATATGCAGTCTAACAAAAGTTTGCGCGTGTCCCTTACAAATTACTAATATTCTACCATCTTTTGACCCAACTATTGTTAAATTTATATGATAATCACAATGTTTTTAAATCCTCACTTGAGAATATTTTTTCCATTGATTTTTTTAGGATAATGGAAGAGGGGAAGAGAAGAGAGAGAGAGAAACATCAATGTGAAAGAGATTCCTGGATTGGTTGCCTCCCACCTGCAACCCAGGTGCCTGCCCTTGACCAGGAATCCAACCCTGATATCCTTTGGTTCAAAGGCCCATGCTCTACCACTGGTTGATTTTAGAGAGAAGCATCATTTTGTTGTTTCACTCATTTAAACCTATGTAATCTTATTAACCAATGTCATCCCATTTAATTTAAAAATAATACTCATATATATCATATACTGAAGGTTAATATAAAGAGGTGAAAATCCAGTATGGGAGAAATCATTGATTTTCTATTTAATACTACTGTGGAAAAAAACATGCAATTTTTGCAGACACTTCTCCATTTAAAATTTTTAGATGGGTAGACATAACATATTAAACTGAAGATATCTTAATAACTCATTAGATTTGTATCATGCCTGTCTCCTAAGAAACCACAACATCAAAATTTTAAAAAAATGTTTCTGGACAACATTCAAACAGAAAATGGTCCTGGGGTTATCTTCAAATCAATTGTGGTTGATGTAGAGTTGATAAATTGAACAAATATTCATACTTTTTAGTATGAAGTACATCTGCAAGTTCTTTGTCTTAGTCAAAGAGAAATGATACAAAGAGAGTAAAGAAGCCCTAGAGGGTTGGCTCTGTGTACAGGGCCGCCTCCTGCAAATTAAAGGTTTCAATTCCATGCCCTGCCTGAGCAGTGTTTTTCTTTCGCATCAATGTTCCTGTCTCTGTCTCTCGCCCTCCTTTCCACACGCTCTCTCTCTCTAAAAACAAAAAATCAATGGGGAAAATTCCTCGGGTGAGAATTAGCACACACAGAGAGAGACAGAGAGAGACCATGAGTATGTACTTAAAGTTTCTAATCTCCTTAACTAGGAAATAAAATCAAAGAAAATCTGTATGTACTAAAATTGGTAAGGGAGACATAATATATTTTAAAAGAGCTAATCTTCACCTGGAATGCTCTGAAAATTTAACAAATTCCTAATTGAATCCAAAACCATTTACAAAATTAGAGTTTTCCTCCACACCACTCACAGATCCCGGATGGTTGGAGGCAACAGATTTTAGGAACTTAAACTCTCTGGTGGTCCCTGAGCCTCCCGTCAGACACACCTCATACTGGTAGCTCTGGGACAGGGTCCCGGTGCCGCTGACGTCCACCAGGCGGCCCGGAAAGGGGCCCTCAGGCACCGAGCAGCCACCCACCCAGGCGGCCCTGCTCCGCCTGCACAGCCGCACCGCGATGAACGCCAGCACCGAGAACAGGAACAGCGACGACACCGCCGCCAGCGCGATGACCAGGTGCACGGTCAGCGGGTCGGCCGGCGCCGGGTCGGCCGCCGCTTCGGGCAGCGGCAGGTGGGGCTGCGAGAAGCCGTCCACCAGCAGCACGTGCAGCGTGACGCTGGCCGACAGCGCGGGCTCGCCATGGTCCCTGACCAGCACCAGCAGCCGGTGCCGGGCCGCGTCGCGCTCGCTCAGCAGCCGCGCCGTGCGCACCTCGCCATTGTGCGCCCACACGCCGAACAGCCCGGGCTCCGTGGCCTTGAGCAGCTGGAACGACAGCCAGGCGTTCTGGCCCGAGTCCGCGTCCACCGCCACCACCTTGCTCACCAGGTAGCCCGGCTCGGCCGCCCTGGGCACCAGCTCGGTGCAGGGCGCGGAGCCGTTCTGCAGCGGGTACAGCACGAAGGGCGCGTGGTCGTTGGCGTCCAGCACCTGCACGCGCACCAGCGCCTGGCTGCTCAGCGCGGGGGACCCGCGGTCCGTGGCGCCCACGCGGAACTCGAACGCCGGCAGCGCCTCGAAGTCCAGCGCCCGCAGGGCGAACAGGTGGCCGTTGTCCGCGTTGATGGACACGAGCGAGGCCAGGGGCAGGCGCGGGTCGTGGGGCGGCAGCAGCGAGTAGGTGAGCTGGGCGTTGGCGCCCGCGTCGCTGTCTGTGGCGCTGACGCTGCCGATGTGCAGGGCGGGGCTGTTGTTCTCGCGGAGGAACAGGGTGTAGGCGGTTTGGGTGAAGGCGGGGGCGTTGTCGTTGACGTCGGACACCAGCAGGGTGATGTTGTGCTGGGTTTCCAGCCTGGGGGTCCCCAAGTCGGTGACCGTGATGGTGATGTTGTACTCGGCCTTGTTCTCTCTGTCTAGAGGTCCTTCAGTTACCAGTTTGTAGAAATTCTCAACGGAATGTTTCAGCATGAAAGGGAGATCTTCCTGGATGGAACACACCATCCTTCCATTCTCCCCAGAGTCTGGGTCTTGAACACTGAAAAGAGCTATGGTAGTTTCCGGGGAATTTTCTGGAATGGAACTTGTAAGTGAAACCACCTTCAGTTCCGGGGTGTTGTCGTTTATATCCACCACCTGTATTATGACAGTGCATTTTCCAGAAAGACCTGCCCCGTCAGACGCCTTAATATCCACCTCATATGAAGCAATTTTTTCAAAATCTAGTTTCCTAACGATTGTAATTTCACCTGTGCGTTCATTAAGTGCAAATGTCCTAGTAACCTCTTCATCGCCATAAAAGAATGAGTAGGACACTTCCCCGTTTATTCCCGTGTCTAAATCCCTAGCGGAAACGGTGACAACAAGGGAGCCCAGAGGACTGTCCTCCGGGATCTGCACTCCATAGAGTGGCTGCACAAACTCGGGGGCGTTGTCATTGACATCCAACACCTCGATGAGGACCAGGGCGGTGCCAGATTTGGGAGGAGCTCCGCCATCTACTGCCGTGAGCGTTAACCTCAGCTCCGGCTGCTCCTCGCGATCTAGAGCTTTGTCCAGAACCAGCACCGGGTACTTTCTGCCCTCGCTGCCATTTCTGGTAAGAACGTGGAAGTGGGAGTTGGGGTGGATCGTATAGTTTTGAACATTATTGATGCCCACATCCAAATCTTGTGCATTTTTCAGGGGAAACACGGTCCCTGGAAGAGTACTTTCCATGATTTTCAAAATCATTTCTGCTTTCGGGAACACAGGTGAATTGTCATTTATGTCCCGGACCAAAAGCTTAAACCTATAGACTTCCAAAGGCTCCTCCAGTAACACCTGGAACTGCAGCACACAAGGCTCAGTGGGACCACACAGCTCTTCCCGATCCAGTTTCTCATGTACCTGTAAATCCCCAGTCTGTAGGTTCAGCTGAAAATGTTCTCTGTTGTTGTTAAAAATGACACGAGCCCTCCGCCCAGACAGCTCCTTTGCCTCCAGCCCTATGTCCTTTGCTACATTGGCCACAAAAGAACCACCCTCTGTTTCTTCTGCGACGCTATAACCTTTCTGCGCTGCGCTAGTCTGAGCCAGAAAAACAAAGAGAAGCAGGACTTGCCTTAGTGTAGGAAAGCGCTCCTCTTCAGCCTCCATCTTCTTCAGCGCCAGAAGTCTTTGGGGTCGGCTGCCAGGGTCTGAAGGAAGTCTGCCCCGGGAATCAATCCTTGCCGCAGGGTAATTCCGTTAAGGATCCTCCTCTCTTCCTTAGATCTGTGTAATGACCACCAGAACCGGAACCCTCCCCTCCGCAGGTCTGGTTTTTCGAAGCCTTAGCTTACAGCGCCACCATGTGTTGCACTTAAACCAGTTTGCTGGAAATGCTACAGAACGCTTTCTCCACTTGATTTAGGCACACACACATACACCACCACCACCACGGATTATATATCGGGTGGTTTATAAATAAAAGTGTAACTTCTATTTTTCCTGCGAGATTATGAATGTGGAAATGGTACCAGCCACTTTGGGAAATGATGCAAGAACAAGGCTAACTGTATTTATTTGTTTATTCAACAAACCTTATTGATTTCATATTATATGTCAGGCAGAATACTAAGTGGTGGGAATACACATACCTTCTTTGTTGTTCTGAAGCTTACAATATAAAGTGTACTATACTATCTGTATTCTGGGGGAATTGAGTAGAAAAAGATGGGTAGTTATCAGTCTATTCCTAAAGAAATCAAACTCTTACAAATAGTTTTAGATAATTAATAATCAAACTCTTAACACACTGCCAGCAAGGAAGATGAAGAGATTCATTTACATACTTCAAGAGTATAAACTTAAGTGACAGACCAGCTAGAACTGGTTTATTATGCAAACTAAACAAATAGCTTAAGGGATTGTGGATAACTTATTTATAAATATTGTCTACAGATATTGTCTCAATATCTCTGTAAGCACTGTTGTATTGGCTATTAATTATCTAAAACTATTTGTAAAAAGCATCTACATCTGTTACTAAAACTAAGATATACACATGTTGAAGTTAACATTCACTGAGATCTTGAAAAGTAGGAAAGTCAACATTACAAACATACTAAAGAGCTGAAGTTACAGGAATAACTAAAGTGCAGAAGAAAGTAAGTTAGGTTCATTTGAAACAGCAGGTTAAACTTATTCCCAAGTAGGAAACACAATTTACTTTTAGCAAGCAACTCACATAGCTCTTGAGGGTAGCTGGAGATCCTGACACCCTAGAATAAAGTTTTTACTCCTAAGGATGGAAAAAATATCCTGGGGTAAGGGACCTGGAGTCTCCCCAGTTGCACCAAATTTTAAACAATACTTTAATATTGTTTAAATAACCAACAGTATAACATAGTCTGGCACTCCCATCACCTGGGTAACTGGGAAAACAGCTTGGGCCTCATGTAAACATTGTGTTGAATATTGGTTCAATTCTATTGAGGTATAAATCATTCTATTTTAGAATGTTCTCTTTTAGTAGTGAAACAAATTTAATTAAATGAACCTTCAAAACATGAGAACATGCTGGTTACAGTTATATCTAAGAATTTTCCTCAGAGATCTTGGTCATGGATCCAACCTCTCTACTATGAAATTAAATAGGCAAGAAAATGTGCCCTTAATATTCATGCATTAAAAAAATTAACCAGTAGAAGCTGGTATCTAAGTCAGTGAGCAAATGCATCACAATTAGTTTTTCATTCCCATCTGTCATCTCTCAGAAAAATTTTCTCCTTATTTTTCTCTCCTAAGGAGAAAAATTTAAGCTTGTAGACTTGGCAGGAAACTTAAATTTTGTGAGCCTTTTCAATAATAGAGTATGTGTCCATCAAATACTGTATTATTCTTAAAATCATGTATCAACCCATATAATCTATAAACTACATTATTTGTAGATGCTGAAGATTTTACATTAAATGATAAAATA